ACCAGCAACATTAGTGAATATACAGACAAACCATTTAAATTTTTCTTAATTGCTTATTTTACTAGTATTATTAGCATGTATAACATACACAAAGTGCGTCAAGCAGGGTTGCCAACTTTATTTTTTTGGAAGATTGTACCATACATTTTAAAAGATCGTACTTTGAATTAAAAAATAAATAGCAATAGAATGTGGTATTACTATAACTTCAACGCAAAATTTAACCTTTTGGTATAATATTTAAGAATCCGTACACCAATTTAGCAACGAAACTTTACTACGAGCTTTATTTACTAAAGAAAAGGGGCTCGGAAGAGACTTTGTCATGAAATCCACACGAAACAATAAACACCAGTATCATTACAACTTAAACGGGATATTTACCATGTTTATTATTACTTTAAAAAATATATTAATAAACACTAGTACATATAACAACAAGTACGGATACTTGTATTATAATGTTTCTTAATGCTCCTTACTCGAATTTTCTTGATTATTAAAGATTCAAATTAAAAGATGTTTTATTTCACACTGAAGAATGTTAGCACAGTATTTTAGCATAGTTTTATAGTATTTAGAATAATTTTGACATTTTAATTCAGTAGCAGTCTCCCAGATTTTGTATTAGTCGTGTTGGCAATTGGCAACACTGCTTAATGAACTTGACTGCACTTGACAACTTGATGGTGGTGTTAGATTAGATCTGCTATTACAAATTTCTTGAAACATTTCATAAATAAGATACATTTGATGTTGAGATTGAATTGCAACTGAACTGCCTAAAATGAACCCGACTAATAAACTTGCGTGTATACGACATACTATGTATTCAGGGCCGCAAAATTCAAGGAAAAAGGTGCAAGCCGCATTCATAAGACATCATGAAAGTTCTTTTAGTGATCTATAGTGAAGAAATCAGATTACTATAGGATTTCAAATCAGATTTACGTGAGTGAAGTTTATTTGATACTCATTGGTTTATGTTCTAGAAAAGGTCGTTATGCTCGATAAGGTTAGTACCTATTATGTATTGAGAAAGTTTTAACAAATTGCAGAATAATGATTGTCACTTTGTTCATTTTAGGTATGCAAACGTCGTATTGCCACGGTCAGAGCGTAGCAAAGGGTGTGCAAGGAGTTTAGGACTTTATTTTTCATTTTCATCAAGAATGAAAATTCTTATAAATGGCTAGTTAAATAGGGTTCAGTAGCGTAAGCCTAAAAACTTTTCTTTTTTACAGATATTCAAAATATTCGATAAGCATCAGAAAATAGAAATTTTCCTATTCATTTGGAAAATGATGTTTTAGTTATGAACAAATAGCATAATTACTATTATCAAGTAAGTATATCATTATTATTATTTCATTATTATCAAATATCATTATTTCTTGGTATGTATGTATAAAAATAATGTATTTCTTGGATTGTTTCTTTTTAACAGCTATTATTATTTTGATTCTAGGTCCAGGGTCAATTGCGAATTACCAAAATGAATAAATGTTACTTCATTTGCTATATATCAGTCACCCAACCATTGACTGTCATAGAAGTTAACCAGAATGAGGAATTTATCAGTACTATGATGCCGAAGTTGGTGACAGTTTTTAAAAGATGTGTACTGCCAGAAATTATTTTGAGAAGAGTTGAGAAAAATGCTAAATGTCTGGACATCAAGGAATTAAAAGGTATAAAAATATAAGTCTTATTCATTTCCTAACTTATTTCTCAGGGCTCTGAGGTGTGGGTTCAGTAAGAATAGTCTAACAAAACTGTGTAAATTCATTTGTTGCAGCGAAAACTGCATCTTCCAGCATTTGATTCAGATTGCACGGAAATTATAAATGGAAGTAAAAAGCGATAAACAGAAGACTGATATGGCGCGGCGGTGGCGGTGGTGACTGCAAAAAGAAGACATTTTATTATAATATATATAAGAATCTTTGTATGGTGGTACGAGTTGATTGTTCGAATCCAAGCCGGCACTTTGCTTTGTGTAGCCTGATTCTCAGCAGTGTGAACATTATAGAATAATTAATAAGCTATTTTTGCACGTAGCTATGTATAGTTGGTGTTATTTTGTTAGTCCATAAGATTTTTCTGTGTAGATAAGTTTGCCTCATGCATTTAGGTACCAGCCTAACAATTCAATTGTAAAACAATATTTATTGAAGTTCAAAATTGTAAAATAAATAGGTATTCTTAAAACATAAATAAATGTTATGGTTAGCTAGCAACCACTTGTGCGATGTATAGTTGGTGTTATTTTGTTAGTCCATAAGATTTTTCTGTGTATATAAGTTTGCCTCATGCATTTAGGTACCAGCCTAACAATTCAATTGTAAAACATTATTTATTTAAGTTCAAAATTGTATAATAAACATGTATTCTTGAAACATAAATAAATGTTATGGTTAGCTAGCAACCACTTGTTGTTGGTTTTATGACTGTAATGTTATACTAATTAATTGAAATAAATAAATGTAAGATACTTGCAAACTTACATGTGCCGTTATATATACTTATGATGTTATTTATATTGTGATCTACATACATAATAATTCTTTATAATACTGAATTTAAAATTATAAAACTAAGTAAATATCAAAACAATTAAAAAATTATGTTATCTTTGTATGGTGGTATGACTCCATGGTTTGAATCCAGATGGAAACTATCTAAGTAAATGTAGTGAGAGTAAATAAAACGATTATTTTATGAAAATGTTAACTTAGTTTTACTAAATAAATATTATTAATTTATAGTAAGGTACAATAAAAAGCTTTACAATGGAATAAATAGTCTTTCATTTATTTATTTAGTAAAGTCACTATTTACACATTACAATTTAGGTTCAGTCACATTACAACAATTTTTTAGGTGTAGGGTCTTTTTTTTTTTTTTTTAAGGGGGGAAAATCATCGAATGACTGCTCCCGCCTGGGTGAGGCGGAAGGGAGTGTCAGACTCTTACTGACTAAAAACCACCCCGTTCCTTTTCCTGCACGTCGAGCCGGAGCCCCGGTTACCCGTTAGGTTCTCCGCGACAGGTGTAGGGTCTAGGGGTATAGTATATAGTGTACAGTGTAGGTACCTATTTTACCTAAAATAAATTTTATGAATAATTTGCTAGATATCGAGTCTAGAAACAAAAGTATACTTAGACCAATTATTATACTAATAAGAAATAGATGGGAACATAATTGCAAGTATGTAAATTAATATTTTTATAGTATAACGACATCTGGTGGTGTCGAAAGTTACTACTATTTACTTTGCATGTGTGTGTAAACAGTAAAGTGAAGCGGCTAAATCTTTATTTTGTAGTAATCTTTGTATGAGACCAGATAACAAGCACAACGACTATCTAAAAAATCAAGTTAATGCCCTAGGTTTCGCGAACAATAAAGTTATCTATTAAAGATTTCGAAGTTAGGCGTAAAACGTGAAAATGTTCCAAATTGTGGAAGTTACGCCATCTAGCGACAAAATGGCATTTGAGATCATCATCCATCCACCATAAGGCGGACTTAATGCCATATGGCATTTTCTCCCAGTCAACCTTTGGGTTAAAAGTAAGCTCAGCGAAAATGGGCTTGTGTAGTATGCAAAAGAAACAAAATAAATAACTAATAGTAATAATAAATACTGCATAACATACTGTATAAAAATATATAATAAACACAAAATATGTACATAAATAACTGCATATATATAATTATAATATAATATAAATTGACGACGACACGAACTCAGCGTTGTAGCGCCTTTAAATAGGCCTCACGAACACTACGTTTAAAAGCCATTTTGTTTGGAGCCATTTTTATACTATGGGGTAGTGCATTTCATAATTTAATTACACTAACTCTGAAGGAGTTAGAAACGAAGGAAGTGTGGTGAGACGGGATCTCTAAGAGCAAACTTTCAGCTGAACGGAGATTTCGGCTGTGAGAGCTGCCCAAAATCTGAAAGCCAGACTTTAGGTATTCGGGAGCACAAGGATCATTTAGAATAGAGAAGAGCATGCAGAGGGATCTAAGGGATCGCCTCTCACGGATAGGAAGCCATTTAAGCTGAGCGCGAAAGGAAGAGACATGGTCGTACTTACGAAGTCCGAAGATAAAGCGGATACAATTGTTGAGCATTCGATCCAATTTGTTAAGAAGGTCTTGGGATAGGTCAGAGTAACAAACATCAGCATAATCAATCACAGGAAGCACAAGAGACCGAACAAGCAGCGCTTTTGTATTTGGTGGAAGAAAGTTTTTAAATCTGTAGAGAGTAAACTTTTCTTTAATATCATTTAGAAAAAAAATACTATGTAGAGTTTGCAATATATTACGTACTCTATGGATGACATAATGAATCGGATTTCATTAGAAGTAAAAATAATCGAATATTCTAGTTATTCTAGAAATATCAATTATCTATTTAACAAAGTAATTTATCTTTACTTAGTTTTTAACAATTAGATTTATTAGAAAAAATTGTTTTGTTTACTATAGTCAATAAACTTGGATTTTTATTTGAAATGTAATATAAATCTCAATTCTCAACCCTATTTACATAAATCAAATCAAAATGTATCAAATGTTGACGAGCACTTAACCATTTGGTACCCATTACGTCACTCTTCCTGAGATACCTATTTTTTAACGCGAAGGGCCTTGAACTAGTAGAGTAATTACCTCGAATGAATCGAGCATTAGTTCATCCGGGCTTCGGAAGCCTTTGTTTCATTCATTATCGCTACATCATGTACCTCCCGAACATCATTTCCTAAAAGAAACAAACAATTTTAGTAAGTAAAGATTTCACTTATCCCAATGTAAAAAAACTTCTAAAGGCCTTGCTCGCTCAACCGTGAACGACGATTCACTGTCGTCGGCACAACTTTTGCCATGAAAACAGTGAATTTTTATAATGCAACCTCTTTTCGCAACCGTCAAAACAGTACTATTATAAGCGTGATATTTTATTATCTTATCGGCGTAGATTATGTACACAAGTGTTGGTTTTGTACCGTGTAATGGACAACACATTAGTTACCAGCACTCCAATGGGTACCGTGTGATTACTACTGAATACCGAGAAAATAATATAACCAACAAACGTATGGAACGTAAGGATTTGACATTGAGTTTCCATAACTTAATCAAACGAGGTACAGTACAGTGTTCTATGTTTGAATTTAATTTTTATATTTGTTTAATAAGTGGCCAGTGTCTTTATCAAGTGAGTGATGGAAAAGGTTTTAATGGTGTATTAACTCAGTGTTTATTAGGCTTTGGTGTTTTGTTTAATTTATCTTTGTTATGTGTGTGTGAGTGCTAGATCTTAGATCTGTGGTGACTTTGGCCTTCAGGGGGTTTCATGGTACCTATTCTTTCTTTAATTAGTAGTTTTAAAGACATCTAATTTCTAAGTAAGGGCAATAAAAAATTTTTGTCCTTGGTCATGCTATATCCTACGGTAAGTACTTGCTAATGCTTATCCAAATTGTAACAATACATTCTTGATAATTTGTATAATTTTATCAGATTATTACTATGACACATCTGCAAACAATTAAACTGACTTTTGATCAGTGAATTTGTTGTTTTAATAAAATTTCAAAGATCCAATAGTCTGGCACTTTAGATTACACTTTTCTATTGCCACTTGCTTTTTCTATTCTTATTGGAAATAATACTTCTTATGAAAGTAACTCCTCAATGCTCTTTACTTAAAGAAAATTTAAGTAATTAAAAATCAAACAACAATACTTATATATGCAATTTTTCATCATAAAATAAATCTTTAAATCACATCTCATGTGTACCATACCTTGAATCTTTACGATAATTTGACAACCAATTATTATTCATTGTATTTGTTCTTATATTTTTTTAATGTTTCCTCATTCATGTCTTATTTATTATCATCTGGTCACTCCTAGATTTTGTTATTATCACATTAGCTTCGTAAGCTGCGTATAGATTGCGGTAAGACTGTAATCCTTGTGATTATATTGACTAAATATCTATGTTAATAACTTTTTAAAGTGACGTAATGTTACTAAAATTTAACACTTACACATTACCTCTCATAGTGGTATCAACTATGGTATAACTATGCCATAAAGTATTTTATTACAATTTAACTGACAATTCAATAAATAATATTGTCAATAAGAGTGTACTATGTTTTTCTGATCATTTAATGGTATTTAAATAGCAAAATGGTGATAATTTATGCTATGCGAAAGTTTAATAATTTATGAATCCATACAATATTGGTGTACTTAATCTTTGTTCTTTTACGTTTTATTTAATATTCATTAATCTTTTTCACTTAACTAAATGCTTACCGAGTTTTTGGGTCATCTATCCTCACCATAACTCCAAGTAGGACATTCCTGTTATAATGCTACTAGATAATAAATTATAAATTACACCGCTACCAATAAGTAAATAGTCTTTGATATTAAACAATACAAGTAAAGAACAATCTGCTATTAAATATGGTCATATAATGGATCTTTAAATGAAACAAAGAGTTTGAAGTGTGACATAAAATGATTGTAAATAACTGCATTGCAGATATAGTTAGTAAGTCATGTGTTAGCTATTTATAGTGTCTTGTGAGGACGCTTGTTAAATAAATTGTTCTATACTTCATGGTAAAGTGTTTCATCCTGTCTCACTGTGTCTTGGGATCTAGTTACCATTTAAGGACTTGTTTGGTACTACTGTGTTGACACCAATGCTTATATTGTTCATGGTCTCATATGAGAGATATGAGAATAAGGTACTAACCACAATTTGTATGTTTTTCAAATTGATTTTAAACTTTGTTCTTTCGGTGTAAAGTTTAAATTGTTTTGTTCTGATTTGTTTTATAATTTTGCATGCATCTGTACAGTTCTTCATTCAAAATAAAATGGTGTTCCCGTGTTCGTAACATAGAACTAAAATTAGGATTGGATTTATCTTTAAGTGTACTTGTACCTTTCCAAAGATTTGTCTAGCTACCATTTGGGGATAACCAGGATGTGACATTGTTTATGATATATATTTCATGATTTATTATTTTAATTCTGTATTACACAATGGTTTGAACTCAATACAATGCTTATTTTTAATTTAAATTTCATTATTAATATACATTTATACAGAATAGTTCGAATGTCACTGGGGAAGGCCTATATTCAACTGTATTGTGGATGGAACTGTATTATGCTTGATACATATTTAAGTAGTATATTTTTCATATGTCCGTGACTCATAAATAAAATATGGAACATAATTAGTTATCAATTTGTGTTACTACGTTGCAACTTGCACTAATTACATTGTTATTTGACATTAATAGAATCCTTCTTTTATATTATCTTTGATTAATTTTTGTCAATATTTTAAAAGTCAACTGCAGTGGTTACTTATAAGCCGATCACGTCATTCTGTCTTTTCCCCAAATAGTTCTAATACTGCAATACTTAAGTGTGAAGCTAAATCTGGTTTTATATTTATGACATCATACGCATATTTACAAAAACCTTAAAATACTCGCTGTTTTGATACAAAGTTTGCGAGGTTTTTTTTTATTCTCATGTACACTAAATCTATGGATATCCCCCAAAGAAATTTCAACTTTAGTTAAATAGTTATAGGTTCCCTAATCCGTAAAAGATCGGCAACCCGCTTGTAACTCTTCGTGTTACGGAGCGGATTGCTTACCTACCAGTAGATGATTGATCCGTCTATTCATTAGCTATCATATCTCATAAATTGTTGTGAAATATGGAAGGAAGCCTTTGGTGTTTTAAAGCATTCTGAACAAATAATATAATTGTATCTACTAATTTATAGATGAACAGCTTTACGGGTATACGAGCTACACGAACTACGGGATGGATACTCCTACTCCAGCACCGTCTGCCTCGGGCGACTGCCTGGCCGGATTCGGATTTCCCACCATGGATTCCCTGAGTCCAGTGCTGGACTCGGACTTTGATGAGAGCCTGGCTGTACCTGAGTCACTGTCCATCATAGAAGGGGACAAAGTCGATAATAAGGAGGAAAATGGTGTTACTGGTAAGTCCTAGAATTTAATAAGTATTTTTAATTAAGTTTAAGCTTCGTCATCGTTCGGTTGCATTATCCATTTTGGTGCAGCTGTTCAGAAGATATATGCTTACAAATATTTTGATAATTTATTTACATTTAGATAGATAAACAGAAAATACCTCATTCCACCTTATTTTGCCAATCACTCTTCGTTTTACTGCTTATGTCCTACAAAGTTGCTAGCATTAACTTACCTACAAAAACACGTTCAATACATAAACGTGCAAAGTTAACAGAGGCACAGTAATTTCAATGCAACAACTATAGTGCACTTTGTCTATTTGTTCATACAAAAGTAGCCTCTAAACATTGGAAATAAGTTCTATACCGTGCGTACGTCGCGGGACCTAACGGGTTACCGTGGCTCCGGCTCGACGTGCATGAGAAGGAACGGGGTGGTTTTTAGTCAGTAAGAGTCTGACACTCCCTCCCGCCTCACCCAGGCGGGAGCAGTCATTCGATGATTTTCCCCCCTTAAAAAAAATACCTTGCGTACGGTGCGGCGCGTCGCGTTCCGCGCGCGCCTCAAAGAGCCATGAGCCATGATGCCCGATACGGAACCGCGGAAGACTTAACAGTTTGCCGGGGCTTGCTCGAAGAACAGGAGTAGGAACGGGGTGGTCTTTAGTCAGTAAGAGTGTCTCTCGTCTCTCTCGTCTGACCCAAGCCGGAGAAATCATTGGATGATTTTCCCCCACACAATCCACCAAAAATCCTTGTCGCATCGCAATGTAAAAAATGCAAACAGGCTTTATCTACTTTGTCGCATGAATGATAAATTAATAAATGAACGAGTAGCTCGAAATCTGTTTATCAGTTTTGCGGTGGTCCTCTAATGATTTATCCACAATCATTCGTTATGCTTATCTCTGCAGACAGATAAGTTCTATATAAACTAAACTTTAGGAATATTTTTTGTAAAAAGATAAAAATCATCATTCATTCAATCTGTACGGGAACAGATCAACTGATGTTACCGTTTTTAGATAAACGGTTAATGCTGTTTTGTGATAAGAATAAGCCTATAAACATTTAAAACTGGTACGTTTCCTCTCCTGAGAATTTTGACGACACAATAAGTCAATAACCGAAAGTTCCGGATTTGGGTACTTTGCAAAGCTATCTCAATGTCAATCCAATAAAATCTCAATAATTATCCAATGTCAAAACTGTACAACCCCTTTCGTAGCTGTTAAAATAACATTCAGAGTGCGGAATATAAAGACAAACTCAATACCATTTAGTTCATTCAATATCCACGTAATACGGATGCAATGGGCACTAGTGTTGCAACTCAAAAGTACGAAATTTCATAATGCCAGTGTCGATCGGTCGGAAATCGATTCAAGAGTACCTAAGCCCCCTGAGCGGGATGTCTACGTAAAATTATATGTTTTACACCCCACAATAGATAATAATGCTCATGTCTGGCAATGCTCTTAAAAAATATGAATGAATGAATTTTATATAAACCAACTGATTAGATAGACCGATTTTGTTATCACTAAATTTCCTTCACTTAACTTTACTTAGTGACAAAAGAATAAAGTATTAATTTCTGTTTGATTAGATAGGCAATAGGTAAGCATATCCTCCTCCTCCCTATCATATCATATCCTAATGCAATGGAAACAAGTCTATCTTTATCTTTTCCTTATCTCGCGAATTTTGATAACAAGTCTGATTCATATAAAAAATGCATGTTTAGGTAAATTATAGCCATAGCGTATGAGTCAGTACTTGAGTCCGTTTGGAGAACGATTGTAACTACGTAAAAATTGTTTGAGCGGTGGTCCTAATCACTCTAAAGTAATTATAGAGATAATACTAATTACTAAAACTATTTAGGTACCGGACTACCAACACCAGACAATCGGGAGAGCACCACCGATATATCCTTACTTCCTTACTAATATTATAAATCGGAAAGTGAGTTTGTTTGTTCCACTTTCACGCCGTAACTACTAAACCGATTGCTTTGAATTTTTGCAGACGTAAAGTTTGAAGTCCGGATTAAATAATAGGGTACTTTTTAACCCGGAAAAATTTGATATTCCCGAGGGAAAACAAAAATATTGGTATAGATGGCGCTGTGTGTATTGGTATATGTCACATAGGCTACTTTTTATCCTTTTGTGACGCGAGCGAAGCCGCGGGTAAAAGCTAGTGTTAAATATTTCACCCACTAGCACCGTTTTATAGGTTATTAATAAGACACGCTAAGAAGTAGAATTCCTTCCCAGAGCCTGTGGTTTCTGAAGGGTCATAAAACCTGTATGCCTGTCTATACTATCCACTCGGGAGTGGATAAGTTGCTTATTATGCCAGCACTAGACTTGATAGCACGTGTCTGGCTCTGACTTTAGACAGGCGTGGTCCAACGTAGGCCGCATCATCACTTACCGCCAAACTATAAAAAAAAAGAAAGTCCTAAGAATGATAAAAAAATACTTCAAGGGCCGAGTATTCACATTTGTAACTGCCGCGTAGTTATGGGAGCCGTATTATAAGCTCATCTTGGTTAAAATTAGAATTTCGTAATATTTAATAGCATGATAGCATGGAATCTGGACATTTGCCCAATGTATGTGGCAATTGACTCGCCCTTTTTATAGGATTTGTAACAAACTATTAAGGTTTAATATTGGAACATGCTAGTGACTTAAGCAGATTATTATTATTTTTGTATATTAAAAAAAATGTTAAAATAATATTTTTGTTCCAGCACCAAGACAAACGACAGTGCCATTTAAAAATATCCACACCCCGCCGGTAAAGTTCAACTCAGTGCATAGGAAAGTGTTCATTCCGGGTGTTGAAATAAAGGTCAGATTCGTAGAAAACGAAAGAAGCGTCACAACACACTTGCTGAATCCTAATTTGTAAGTATTTCTGTCTTATTTATTTTTGTTTATGTATTATTTATGTTAATGTTGTATGGTACAATGAACCCTTTGGTAAATGATTCATAGAACTTCTTATACTAGATGCTTATTCTACTAGAAACCTCTTCTATGGGTATCTAGGTCCGATCCGAAACTGCTCCTGAGCAGGAGTGTGCCGTAGCAGGAGTAGGAACTGGTGGTTATTAGTCAGTAAGTCTGACACTCTGTCTCGCCTAACCCAAGGCGGGAGAAATGATTGGATGATATTTCCTCCTCAAAAAAATGGGTATCTACTATCGAGGTATTGATAAGACCCCAAAATTTTGAGTGATAAAACCCTAATAGTACTTTACGTGAACTGAAAAATTACTACTTCTTAGTGGTTAATATAGACCCGAACGTACGGCGCGTCATGTTCCGCGCGCGGCTTAAATAGCCATCAGACCACCACAGATGGGGCCCAATAGGCCTGATGCCGATTCGGAGCCGCGAAGAACTTATCGGGTTACCGGGACTCCGACTCGAAGTGCAGGATAAGGAACGGAGTGGTTTTTAGTTAGTAAGAGTCTGACACTCCCTCCCGCCTCACCCAGGCGGGAGAGAGTGTGCGACAGAATGACTGTCGATGATTTTCCGCCCTTAAAAAAAGTGGTTAATATAGTCCATTAAGATATCCTTAATTTTTGAATCTTCAGAGTATCGGAAATCTGGATAAGTATTTATAGGTAAAGGAAATCAGTCTGCAAAACGAAGCTCCCTAAAAAAATATCTCACTTTTATCAGCAAGAAACTAACAGCTTTGTAGTATTTCTAGCCTAAAATAACAATGTCCCCTAAAATAGACAAGGCAAACATAACAATTGCCTCAATTGATTGATTATAATAGTGTCTAGAAATATCTGAAATAATCGTGCTCTATCGTCTTTGTGGTAAAATCAGACGATATTCTGTTTTGTCTGTGAGATAATAATGCCTATATTTCAACACCAAAATTAAACGTAGATTACTGATTGAACTAAAACGTACTTTATACATAACGTGGTTGAGTAGAATTTTGAATAAATAGAAGATACATTTATGTGAAAGTAAAGTATGAATTTCAATCAGCTGATTTGGAAGTCGTTGAGAAACACTTAAGGACAGACACTTAAACTCTTAACAGCAGTAGACGTGGTAGGATGATAATTAAACTTGCCTATCCAATGAGAGTTCATTAATATTCACCATTGCAGATTCATAATTCAAAAATGTGTCCTAGATACATATCTGAGGTCTCAGTACGAGTATGTTTATAGTATTCGAAACGAGTACGCGTTCGGCACTCTGATTGGCCGGCGCCAATAAATCAACCAATCAGAGCGCAGAGGCCTTAGTACGAGTTTATTTTTCGTTTAAAGTAATCGTAACGAGTACGCGTTCGGCGCTGTGATTGGCCGGCTCTAATGAACCAACCAATCAGAGCACAGAACGCCGTCTCGTTTCGATTACTTTAACCATAAAACAAACTCGTACAGATGACTGTCACCTCCTGAAAGGTTGTTGAACGTTTTACAAGTACCCTTGTTTACCTAACATAATTATAGTTATACTTACGTACATAGCACATACACATGTTTAACCCTTTGAGTACCGTCATTATAATAAATAAATAAAAATAAAAAGCCTTTTAGTTTCCAATACTTAAAGTTTACATTTCTTATTATCTATTTAAGTGTTAGTTCATGTAATTTTAATGTCTATGTTAGTATAATTTCTCTTTCTTTACTTAATTCTATGTATATCTTAATTTCTGTTTTTTTTATTTATTTATTTAATGTACTGGCACCCCAAGTTGGGTGAAGGCCTCCTCCAATGACGCCCATTTGTCCGTCCGTCCGACCGTCATTATAGACACAATTAAAGAACAAGGTTGCGGTCACCGGTGTCCTCGCGGTGTTTGACAGTTTAATAAAATCAAACAAATATATTACAAGATACCATGAGTACGTTAACAAACACACAAACAAACATCCCTTGAGTCACAATTACGTATCAAAAAACACTTTATTACACAATTGTTCTACTCAATTTCAATTAAAATTATGTTCAAATATGAGTAAGTTTGATCAAACAAGTACTAGATAAATGGCACCTATTAAAAATGTTTTAGATAGCGTAATCACTGGATATTATCATGTAAAACGTTCGTCATGTTACTGTATCTTTATGACGTTTTATTTGTTATGATATGGCAACATTGTACCTAGGTTTTATGTGTATTTTTTTCTTGTGGGACAAGCCCGCCACAGCCTCCCAAAGCCGCTGCAACGCCTTTATTAGTTTTTTTAAAAGATAAATCTGTAGATGTGTATAAAGATAGGAGTAGTTGGAAATTAAAGTGTTACAGGTATATCAACAATATTTAACTTGTATTGTAACTTTCGTGAGACATACTAAATACATTATTATGTTTTCGGCTTACTCACGTAGTAATTCGACGAGGAACTCGACTAGTAGCAGCGCGACAGTCGCCGCGTCGCGGGTCGCGAAGTGCTGCTCATGAATATGAGCCTCTAGCATGGCTTGAAACTAGTCGAATTCCTCGTCGAATTACTACGTGAGTAAGCCGAAAACATAATAATTTAATATTTAACTTTGTTTTAAGTCCATAATTTATGTCTCTGTCCATCTCTTGGGGTATTTCAAGTCGGGACAAAGATATGAGTTAAAGATTATCATAATGATAAAATTGATACTAAGTGCATTAGTGCAGAGCCAATATGCGATACAGCTAAAATGTTTTATTTGTCGACCTTGGGCAAATTAGAACAGTATTCGATCAATCAGCAGATGCCCATACATTAGTATTATCTAAGTCTAGTTTTGTGTAAATATAATCAACTATCATTATATCTGTTTACATAATAGTTCTACACTGTAATCAAAATATAATATAACATAACATCACGCCTTTCATCCCCAGTAGGGTAGACAGAGGTGCACATTGCGGCACTTAATATCACTGTACATTATAACACCCACTTTTCACTATTTATGTTATGAGTGCCCTGTAATAGGAATGGATGTGATCGGAAAATATAATATCTACTGATAAAACTATAATATAATTACTTTGGCCTCCAAAGTAACTAAGTATATTATAGTTTTATCTATCTACAGTTAAAATTGTCGAGTTTTTAACTCTTGTAAAACTACGATATTACTACTTTTAATAGTCAGACAGTTCAAGGTCTCTAGCTACAAATGTATTAGAGACAAGCTACATACATACATACTAAAAGCTACAATAATACTTATGTATACATACATACACAAGATTAAATGACTAGACAACCAGGAAGATATACTATACTGACAACAGACCTCAATTTTTATCGAATTAAGAATACTGTGCGGACCTACAAGGTTTAAAATTATGAATGTAAAAAAAGAAAAATAAAAAAGTAACAAATAGTTTCTTGCTCGTTCTTCTCCATTCGAATCTACATTTTGGAATGAGCACCTAGCTTTACCTAGCTTCACTGACGGACTAACTGACAGACTATTACTTATTTTGTATTTATTGACGTTTCAAAAGTACCAAATTATGGTTTAATTGAAATAAATACTTGGACTTTGACTATATGCTTTTTCACATAGGTATTAAAATCGAAATTAAGTTAACAATCAAGTCGAGCATTGCTAGCTGATCTGATCTGATCTGATCATGTCCATTATACCTATAGGTTTTATACTAATGTAACCTATACGAAAATAATATCAAAATCGGTCTAGCCGTTACGGAGAACGGACACCGAAACTGTCCGACAATGTCCATAATTTGATAACCTTTAGAGATTATGGCCCACTTGGAAGATCAAAGGCCTAATTTTTTATCTAACCATTGAATATTAATAGCTGTAAAAATGTGATAGCCATAAATGTTTTATCTATGATAACGTTGATAGAGTATTTTACCCTCATTTTCATATGGTCGCGATATAACTAAAAAGAACAAAGGTATAAAATTGTATTACTACTATAGTCCATCTGTTTAGGTAATTATCTAAAGGTAAACAAAGAAAACCACGTGACACAGAGATACTTAACCTACTATTACTTCAAATATTTCTCGTGTTTAAATTTTAACCAAATTCACTTTAAACTCGTTCATTTGTCATACACACATATACAACTACAAATGCCTAAATCGTACAAGAGCCTTGCCTATGGGTCTATTTCATTATCATGTTTAAATAGAAACTATTCTGAATCTGATGTACGGATTTCTTTCTTGTACCGATATGTTTCTTCAAAATATTTGAACACATTAATTACAAACGATGAATAACCTAAACTTGAATAACTTAATAACAAAAACAAAACAAAGAAACAAGATAAATTCAACAAAATAGGAACGCGAGCGCAAACGACGAGAGAGCTGTCAATGGCGCCTGATTAACCGACTAAACGTATTACACGCTACTTTCATTGTCGCGCTACATCTTAGTTGTACTCTTTAATTTGACAACATTATTTTGCTTCGTTCTTAAAGAAAAGTTTTGAATACCTGGGATTTTAGGCTCTTTATGGTGTCTATTGTAATGAAATATGATATTATTTAATAAATGTTATTAAATTAATATCCTCAAGCAGATATATATAATATTTACTAAGAAATAAGTGAAAAGGAACAGAAACATAACATTTAATAGAGAAAACTATCGTAAAAAAGGAAACAATTTTATTTTCTTATGAAGTATTTTGAATCATGGAAATGTCAACTATAAAGAACTCTTTTTATGGTTTGTTTACAAATAGTTAACTACCTAAACAGACGGAGTATAGTAAATACCGCGTTCAATCAGTGTCTGCCTACTTTCATAGGAAACAGGCGTAAGGTTATGTATGTATTAATTGCTGCTAAATGATCTTTGCATTTTTATGAACGGATTTTAAAATATTGACGTCTGAACATAGGTAGGTAAATTGTTTCAAATATGTTTATGTCATTGAACTCTGTGCCTCGAAATAGGTACCTACGCGTTCCTAAAAAAAGGTTAAAACAAACAGATAGCTAAGTAATTAGGGATAATTTGTTACATAAATAATGTGCAGTAAAATGCACATCACAATTAGAAAGAACATAACGTAAGAAAACGTGCGTAAAAACGTTTTCATTCATATTTCTAAACCCATAATGTTCATTATTAATTATGCAACTACGTACATAATTAATTTATAGTTCTATTCACCTTATCTGTCGGTTCAATAAACCTGTCATGTGGCTATAAAGTCCCCACGGATGATGACGATGCCTAGCATCATGATTCATAGACAATTGATACTCCACTGAACACTTGAACTACACTATTCTTCATTTATGTTCATTTATTATCTGTACCGCAATCTAATAACATGATATTTATTGCGCATACGCTGATTGGTTGTATGAATTAACATTGTAAATGTTTATTGTTTTACAGATTAAAATATTTCCTCGTTCAATATAAATATGTACAGATAAGCGACGGATAATCTTGCTCGGTGTTGATTTTTAGTCAAATGTGATGTTGTAATTTTGTTCGCAAATTACAGTTAAATGCTAAATTGGATGGCTTAACTCTTTGCGTCATACCTTTCATAATATAGTCACTGTGACGTTCAGAACACGAAAATAACGATAATGAGTATAAAATTTTATTCAAAATGCGGTTTTTTACACTAAATCACTGTAAAGTAAAATATTAAACCTTGTTATGTTGAAAATATTGAATTTGTCAATATGACTAACGGGTATTTTAGATAGCTACGAAGTAACAATAATATAATATCTAATACGTCAAGAGAGCCATGTTTCAATTATACCAATACCTCAGTTCCATCTGGGTAAACCCACAGGACCACACTTCTGAATCTTCTGGAGTTGCCCGAGTTGATAGCATCTATGTGCGCAGATCACTTACCATCAGATGACACGTCTGATTTTTTTATGGGATAGACCGGCTGTCAAACGAGCCTACATATCACGTGGTAATACATAATCAATTCCACGTAATATTAAAGAATTTACATTTACGTTGTCGGTTGTTTGGGATTCAGTATTTAGGGGAGGGCTTCCCCATTTTGTTTTTAATTGGTCCTTCAATAACCCCACACAAGCAGCCAAGCACAACGCAAGCATTGTTTCATGTAGATTTTTATTTTGAAGCGGTGGTATCATTCCTATCGAGCTGGGTCTTCGTCCCGAAGCTTGGCTCTCCCACACTGTATTAGCACCCATCTTACCCCCTCAAACAACAAAAGTGAACTATACTAAAATTATGCAATAAGTACTCATTGTTGTTTGTATATGAAGAATTATTCCCATACTTTCCGACATGACGAAGTATGTTTATTATTATACCTGCATAACTGTTATCTTTATTATTTTACCTTGTTATGGTAAGCAAAAGTAGAACAAGTATAGGTAAATACATTTACCGACATTTATGTCTCTAATGATCAATTTATTAAAAGGTAAACGTTGTTTAACATTTTCACCTTTTTGTTAATACTTCCTTAACAATGGAAACGCTGAGTTACACTGTAAATAATTCTCCGTACTTACGGCCGTGGTGACCCGGAGGTTTAAGACGCCTGCTTCGTGTGAGAAGATGGCTTGATGTTGTTGTTGACTTATGGAAGAAGATCTACCAATGGTTATGATTTCAGAGGAACTTTATTCTTCTAACACTTTGTTTATTAGAACGTATAGTGACAGTTCCGCAAACTACGGCCACCGCTCTGTATTAAGCAGTCATCTGTTGTCTTGTCTTTGTATCCCTTAAAAAGCGAGGCAGAAATTTCTTCTTCCCTCACTTGTACAAACCTAAATTTATTCCAGATACACAATCTACCTCCAACATGGTGAATTCAACTGGACGATCAAGAAGCGTTATAAGCACATACTCTATCTTCATCAGCAGCTCACACTATACAGAACCTCTTTGGACATTCCCTTCCCCACCAAAACCCATAAAACTAGAAGAGCCAGCTTCAAGAATACTGTTGATACGGAAGAAAAGGCTGAAAGGGTTGCCATGCAGGCTGTGCCTAGAAGTAATTCTAGGAGAGCTGTGAGGCCTAGGAAGAGGAAAGGAGCTCTGCCTAGGTTAGTAGTGCTTAATTAATAATGTATTAGTTGTAAAACTTATGTCATCACTAGCTTTTACCCGCGGCTTCGACTTTTTATCCTTTTGTGACGCGACAAAAGGATAAAAAGTAGCCTATGTGACATATACCACTATTGGTATACCTCTATATACACAGCGCCATCTATACCAATACTTTTGCTTTCCCTCGGGAATATCAATTTTTCCGGGATAAAAAGTACCCTATTGTTTAATCCGGACTTCTAATTTTACGTCTTCAAAAATTCAAAGCAATCGGTTTAGTAGTTACGGCGTGAAAGCGGAACAAGCAAACTCACTTTCCGATTTATAATATTAGTAAGGATTAGGTTTGTTATTATGTACCATCATGTTTGCCTTGATGTACTAGTAAAGTGGTACACGTCACTTCTTTCGTTGAATGACTGCCGACTGTCATTCACTAATGATGTCAAGATTTCTTTATTGATCTCCAGCATAAAACTAGAATGCTGATAATAAGCTATCCTCTGTTATTAATCGATTTTCAACCTTATTACGAGAGTATAAGTTAGAAATTAGAACGTAGCAACTGATTTCTGTCATTGTCTATGAAAGCTGGCCCACTGAGTTCAAAAAGCGGTAACTTCTGGGATTCAACTGACGAAAGTTCTTAATAATTTCAGATTTCCAAAGAAACCCGAAGTAATGGTGACATACGAGGGCATCCAGCTAAGAATGAAGCAGCTTGAGGAGTATCTATACAACCTCCTAAACATCTCGATATACAGGAACCACCATGAAACGGTAAGTTACCTTCACATTCGCCTTCAAACAGTCACACTTCAATGGTTAATAAACAATAATACAGTCACGCGATTTTTTACCTTATCTTCTTTAACTGAAGGTTCAATTTGAAATCAAGGATGTTTAACAATAATACAGCTACGCGATTTTTTACCTTATCTTGTTGAACTGAAGGTTTAATTTTGATTGAAGGACGTTTTTTACTATGATTCTGTATTCCGGATGTACCTTAAAGTTTATAGTAAATTGAATTATATAGGTAATTACTGTTGTAATACTATTGTGGGTTTGTTATGAACGTATTTGTTTTTGTAGTAGAATCTATATTTTATAGTTTCTAGAGGTATAAATTTTGTTTTGTTTGATCTGTAAGTCATTGGGGCAGGCTATGTTCCATGTTTAGCAGTAGATATCATGTGGCTGGATGATAAAGTATTTGGTGTACAATCATGGGATTTTTTAAAGTTTCTCGTAACGTATTGAGCACATAACATCACACCTTCCATCCCGAAGGGGTCGTCTGAGGAGCACATTACAGCACTTAATGCCACTGTACAATGTAACACCCATAACATCACGCCTTTAACCCCGAAGGGGTAGACAGAGGTGCACATTATGCCCCTGTACAATGTAACATCCACTTTCCACTATTTATGTTATGAGTCCCATGTAATAGTGGGTGAGCCTATTGCCGTATACCGTGCACAATTCCAGGCTCCGTACTGCTGCGACTGCCTCGTTGGCCGAGTGGTCGCAGGTGCGACTGCCGGGCAAGGGGTCTCGGGTTCGATTCCCGGGTCGGGCAAAGTACTACAGGGTTTTTAAAAATTCTCAGTAGTAGCACGGAGTCTGGAATTGTGCCCGGTATATGGCAATAGGCTCACCCCCTATTACATGGGACCCATAGCATAAATAGTGAAAAAGTGGGTGTTACATTGTACAGTGGCATAATGTGCACCTCTGCCTACCCCTTCGGGGATAAAAGGCGTGATGTTATGTTATGTAATTCCAGGCTCCGTACGTATTGAGCATGTAGTTTAAATCAATTAAAAGTACTTTAATAGCTAAAACATCTGATAGAAATGTAGCCTGATTCAAAGTCCTTTCTCAACTATGTGTCAACGACATGCCTAAACTTTCATATAACTCAGGTTCTCCATAAAGTTTCTTTCACTCATTTTATCGAGACTGCCTATGTATGAGTGTCCCGGTTCTTTACTGCGTATCTGTTCTATGAGTCTGGTCGTGATTTTGTCGAGTGTCCCCGATGTAACTTGAACCGCAATCGCACGGTATCATGTATACTCCGAGAACTGACGAAACTAGTCGAGTTTTTCATCAAACAGTTACGTGAGTTAACTGAAAACATAATAGTATGTCTCACGAAAGTTTAAATATTAACATAAATATCACTTGGTTTTATAAGTGTGGGAGAGCCATGCTTCGGCACGAATGAGCCGGCTCTAACCGGAGTGATACCACGACCTCACAGAAAACCGACGTGAAGCAACGCTTCCGTTGTGTTTCGTCGTGTGAGTGAGGTTACCGGAGGCCCAGCTCCGTCCCCCCTTCCCCAATCTCCCCAATCCCCAAATCCCCAACAATCCTTAAACTCTTAATCCCCAAAAGGCCGGTAACGCACTTGTAACGCTTCTGGTGTGCCAGGTGTCCATGGGCGACGCCGATTGCTTACCATCAGGTGATCCGTCTGCTCGTTTACGGCATATGCCATAAAAAAAATACAAATAAGTCAATGTTATCATTGTATGGATTTACTTGTCTACAAAACAATGAATTTGTATAAGTACTTTATAAGGAAAAATAGTTCAATATTGTGCAATCAAGGCTGCCGTTTTAAACAAATGATCTATCAATGTAGGTTGAGCAAAATATTTTGTTCTTAATATAACATTACGCAATATATTTACTGTAGGATAATACATAATTATGTATCTGCCTAAAAGTATTTGTTACATTTGACATTAAATAACACCAACTTTTAACCAGTTATGTTATACCCAGGACTGCCTCGTTGGCCGAGGCGTCACAAGTGCGACTGCCGGTCTCGGGTTCGATTCCCGGGTCGAGCAAAGTATTACTGGGTTTAAAAAAAATCTTTGTAGTAGCACGGAGCCGGGAATTGTGCCTGGTATATGGCAATTGGCTCACCCCGTATTACATGGGACTCATAACATAAATAGTGAAAAGTGGGTGTTATATTGTAAGTGGCATTAAGTGCCATAATGTGCACCTCTCCATACCCCTTCGGGGATTGGGCTCGCTGCCATCGCAGCGGTAAGTCCCCTCTTTGAGGAGTGGCTTGAGAGACGCTACGGCGTCCTCACCTACCGCCTGACGCAGGTCCTCACCGGACATGGCAGTTTCGGGAGGTACCTGTGTCTGATGGGGCGGGAGGAAACGCCCGGGTGTCATCACTGCGAGGACCGCCCTGAGGACACGGTGGAACACACGGTGGGAGAATGCCCTTCGTGGGCTGAGCACCGCCGTGTCCTCAGGGAAGTGATCGGCGATGGCGACCTCTCGCGTCCGGGCCTAGTGCAGGCCATGATGCGGAGCGAGGGGGATTGGGATGCCGTCTCCTCCTTTTGCGAAGCAGTCATGCTAGCTAAGGAGGAGGCGGGACGCGTGAGGCAGCGAAGCGCTGCCTCCTCGCAACCCAGCCATCGCGAAGGACACACCGGGCGTCGGGGATCGCGGGACGATCTCCGGCCACCGTAAGCGCGGGCCTGCGGACGGCGAGCATGGGTGGCTCCCCGTCCGACCAGAAACAGACCCGAGTGTACGGCACGTCGCGTTCCGCGCGCGCCTCAAAGAGCCATCAGACCACCACAGATGGGGCCCAATAGGGCCGATGCCGATTCGGAGTCGCGGAGAACCTAACGGGTAACCGGGGCTCCGGCTCGACGTGCAGGAGAAGGAACGGGGTGGTTTTTAGTCAGTAAGAGTCTGACACTCCCTCCCGCCTCACCCAGGCGGGGGCAGTCATTCGATGATTTTCCCCCCTTAAAAAAAAAAAAAAAAATACCCCTTCGGGGATAAAAGGCGTGATTTTATGTTATGTCGTACAAACCCGCATAATGGAAGGTGATCCTGACATAACACTGTGTACAATTCAGAACTACGTGCTACTGTTGATAATTTGCCGAAAAACCGAAAACACCCTATGTGTTACCTAGTCAACAACACAATCATATATTTTCTTGTTCCAGGTCAAATTTCTAGAAGTATCAAATCTGTCGTTCATATCGGACTTAGGCGGTAAAGGCAAGGAGGGCATGATACTGAAACGCACCGGTTCGACTCAGCCAGGGCAAGCTGGGTGCAACTGCTTCGGTCTCCTCGGAAACATGGTTTGTGTGAGGTTAGGTTACGTAGTTTTTAGTTACAAATCATTTCTGTTGCTGTTACAAAATGAACTTTATATAATAGTGTCAAGGTTCATTTTTTCTTTTTACTAAAAGTACGTAAGTAAGTACACAAATATTTGTCCAAATACGCCAAGTAAATTAGTATCCTTTTACTTCCTATATTTATATAGACACCATTAACAAAACTGAAGAAAACACATTGTGAGGAAACCTGTAATATACAATTTCAAATTAAAACTGATCGCCAATCTGCCTTGAGTAGGTGTAATGATTAAAGCTCATTACTTCTCCGTGCGAGAAAAGTGTGAGTAAATCACCCAATGGACATCCCGCCTTGGGTGAGGCTAGAGGGAGTGTCCAGACTGTTCATCAACAGCCTATAAGTGGCCATTGCTGACCAATGGCCTCTTTTCACACGGAGAAGGTTTGAACGTGGTGATTACACCACGCTTGCTTAATGAGGGTTGGTGATTACAAACTTATAAATAGAAATTATTAGCCCAGGTTTCCTCACGATGTTTTACTTTACCGTTTGTCAGTGGTGGCTAGATAATTTTGGAAAGTACATGTAACTCGGAAAAAGTCATTGGTACTTGCCGTTGGTAGGTTACGACCGCACCCTCATGCATGAGAAGCGGGCGTCTTAAATCTCTGGGCCACCACGACATCAGACGTCCAGACTGTTAAGTGTCCGTAAAGATGATGATGGCCTACACAAATTTTTGACCAAAAACGCCAGTTAAACTAATATACTTATGCCTAATGTTTGTATTACAGGTGCAACTACTTCTGTACTGGTCTGCTGTGTGCCAAGTGGCAAGAACGATGGTTCTTCGTGAAAGATACATTCTTCGGGTACATTCGACCGAGGGATGGCGTCGTGAAAGCTGTTATGCTGTTTGATCAAATGTGAGTTATTAAATTGGTATTGGTATTCTTATTTTTTTTGAATTTTTCAATTTTTTAAGAGCAAGTAAATGCCAAAATAATTCTTGAAATAAGAAGCTGATATTATTATCATAATGCCAACTTAGTGCTTCTAATGATTAAAAAATCGAAATTATAAAATTTTATAGTTAAACCAATAAATGATCTAGTCACGCTTGAGGCACAGTATTGGATACAGCAGGAATTCCACCAAGACTTAGTAAATTTAATGTAGTAATAAATTCTGCTATTAACCACTGGCTATGTGGTGACTGATCAATGACTAGACAATATTGTTTACGCGTTGACTATAAGAATTAATAGTACATTAGCGTCACTTACGACGTAAATCTTCGTCACGATTTTCGGGGAGGAGGACTCCCCGTATTAGATGACAGTGATGTTCCAAGTGTACTTAGACTCCGATACGAAGCCTCGGAGGACTTAACGGGTTGCCGGGGCTCTGGCTCGAAGTGCAGGAGTGGTTTTTAGTCAGTACAATTCTGACACTCCCTCTTGCCTCACCCAGGCGGGGGAAGTAATTGAATGATTTTCCTCCCTCAAAAAAATAAATAAAACGAAAGTGCACTTAGACGACTACTTAGTATGCTACTTGCTAACCGATAGTTTTTCTTCTTCTCCTCTTATAATATCTTCTGATTCACTTCGTTGCGGGAACCAAGACAGTTACTCATGTCCCTGGGACGCGCCGGACTTCAGTGTTCCGGTGTTTTCATGGTTGTATCTACTGTAGATCCTGGCTTACAGGAGTTGCAGCGGTTTTGGGAGGTTGTGGCGGGCTTGTCCCTTAAAAAAAACCGATAGTAGTATTAAATAACAAATCTTCTTAAAGTTAATACATTTTCTTTCGTTTCACGCAGCACGCTGTATGATTAGTAAGTATAATTTAGTTTATGTCGATTGTGCTAAAATTGTAATAATAGTGTCGAGGTGTAAGTTATTGTATATTTTTAAATCTTATTCATCAAACAAATATGAGCCTTATTGCTTATAGAAGGCTTAGTTAACTATATAATGGGTTTGTTGATAAGTTTTTTATGAATAAAACAATTGGTTTTTAAACATCACATTCAACAATCATGTAACTTATCTTTTTAATAAATCGATAACTTATTAATGTGTGTTTTGTACCATTGTAATAAGGTTTATTTTACTACATCATATCGTTGGAATTAAAATTGTACTTATTGATTATTATTCATTGCATGATTCATTGGATTGAGTGTATTCTAATCAGCTTTCTTTTTAACCTGCGACCTATTATTTAACAGCCGATCAATTAAGCCGACTTGTCGGAATAGTCTTTCACGTAGTCCGTCCCTTACCCTAAGCGATAAGGGGCTCGAAATGGATCTACTTTCAAAAAATAAGGCAATACACTCATATCCCATTTAATTTATAAAATATAACACAACATCACCCCTTTTATCCCCGAAGGGGTAGGCAGAGGTGCATATTACGGCACTTAATGCCACTGTACAATGTAACATCCACTTTTCACTATTTATGTTAGAGTCCCATGTAATAGGGGGTGAGCCTATTGCCGTATACTGGGCACAATTCCAGACTCCGTGCTACTACTGAGATTTTTTTTAAAAATCCAGTTATACTTTGTCCAACCCGGGAATTGAACTAGCACTTACGACCTTGTGGCAAGCGAGGCAGTTAATTTAAAATTCATTACAACTCAAGAGTTAATTTACAAAACCCTAAACATAATATATATAGTTATTCTTTTTCGGAAACTGTAATTTTTTCTCTTCAGGTTTGAAGTATCAAGCGGTATGTACTCAACGGGAATGAACCATGGTCTTCAGATCCTCAACCAGAGTCGACAGATGGTGATCAAATGCTGGACCAAGAGAAAGAGTAAAGAATGGATGCAGCACCTCAAAACTGTTGCTAATCAGACTGGTCAGTAACTAGTGGAAAATATTTTTCCAAATTGATTTATATTAGACCCTGCAAACACAAATCACATTCACATTAAACATAACATAACATCACGCCTTTTATCCCCGAAGGGGTAGACAGAGGTGCACGTTATACCACTGTACAATGTAACACCCACTTTTCACTATTTATGTTATGAGTCCCATGTACTAGGGGGTGAGCCTATTGCCATATACCGGGCACAATTCCAGACTCCGTGCTACTACTGAGATTATTTAAAAACCCAGTAATAGTTTGCCCGACTCGGGAATCGAACCCGAAACCTATTGACCAGCAGTCGCACTTGCGCCCACTCGGCCAACGAATTATAGAATATAAAAATAATTACATATTATTAGACTAGGTTGACTTGCTGACCGACTGTGTATTTATAAAACTCAAAATAATCTCTCCTACTTTCAGCTAGAGATTTCACGTACCCAAATCTCCACCATTCCTTCGCCCCGCCCCGCGCAGCCACCCCAGTGGGTACCTTAGTGGACGGCTCCGCGTACCTCTCCGCTGTAGCCGATGCCATGGAACTGGCTAAAGAGGAGATCTTTATAGCAGACTGGTGGCTCAGTCCGGAGATATATTTGAAGAGACCAGCACTCAATGGCAGCTATTGGAGGCTTGATACTCTGTTAAAGAGGAAGGCGGTTAGTTGGTTTTTTTTTATTACATACAGGAACAATAACTGTTATATTCTACATAACATCACGCCTTTTATCTCTGAAGGGGTAGGCAGAGATGCCTATGCCACTGTACAGTGTAACACCCACTTTTCACTATTCCTGTTATGAGTCCCATGTAACCTATTACACAAGGCAAAACTCCAAACTCTGTGCTAATATTGAATTTAAAAAAAAACGCAGTCATACTTTGCCCGAACCGGGCATCGAACCCGATATCTGTAAACTTATAATTAACTTGTGTTACAAATGAACCTTTGACATGCCTGTAATGTTATTTATAATATGATGCATGTAGTAATTCAGGGAGTTCTTATAAGGTAACATTCGTACGTCTGTGGTGATTGTTTGGTACTGGACTCTTTGACCCCATTCGCTCAGCGGATTTTTTAAAGTCGCATCAAAAACCGTTTAAAATGAAAATGTTTTCATGCATTTGCATGTGCCCATTTTGGTCCCATAACTTACATATTACCATCGAATAAAATGTAATCAACTTTTATTTCCAGGCGCAAGGTGTAAAAATATTCATAATGCTGTACAAGGAAGTGGAGATGGCACTCGGTATCAACAGTTTCTACAGCAAAAGTAAATTAGCTAGCGAATATATTAAGGTAATTAAAAATATACATTCTTCTCGATCGCTTGCTTCATTTCTGAAGGTCGTGCACCTGAAAGGCTTGTATTGCTCTCTGTGTTATTTCCCTCCATCTTGTCCTGCTTTCGGCTTCTCTCAGGGCTTTCGTAACAGAGAGTCCAGTAAAATTGGTAACTTGGTCATACCAAAAATATACATACAAATTACATAACATAACATCACGCCTTTTTATCCCCGAAGGGGTAGGCAGAGGTGTACATTTCTGTACTTAATGCCACTGTACAATGTAACACCCACTTTTCACTATTTATGTTATGAGTCCCATGTAATAGGGGGTGAGCCTGTGCCGGTGAGCACATTTCCAGACTCCGTGCTACTACTGAGATTTTTATAAACCCAGTTATACTTTTCCAGGCCCGGGAAATCCGATACCCCTTGCCCCGGCAGTCGCACTTGCGACCACTCGGCCAACGAGACAGACATACAAATTACAATATACCATTTACGACATACTATAGTTACTACAACACATGGTGCACATAAAACTCTTCGATGACTAATTTTGACGTATTAAAAGTGCCTGTTTTATGATTAATGGAAATAAATGCTTTATAACGTCGATAATTCCTTTAAAATATTTTCTTGTAATAATCATCGTTGTCAGGTATTCCGTCACCCCGACCATGCGAAAGCCGGCGTCTTGTTCTGGGCGCATCACGAGAAGATTGTATGTGTCGACCAGACTGTCGCCTTTGTGGGTGGCATCGATCTCTGCTATGGACGATGGGACGACTATAAACATAGGTAATTATTTTTTTACGCCTTTTATCCCTGAAGGCGTAGGTAGAGGTGGACGACATTTACGGCACTAAATATTATTGTACAATGTAACTGTAACACTTTTCACTAATTTTATCATCAGTCCTATGTAATAGGAGGTGACCTCTGTGTTTACTGAGATTTTTTTTAAACTCAGTAATACTTTACCTGACCCGGGAATCGAACCCGAGACCCATTGCACCGGGTAACTCGCAGTCGCACTTGCGATCACTCGGCCAACGGCAAATTACTCTAACAACTACAACAAACTTTCAAACGCCGTCAAATTTGTACATACATGTACACGCCTATCTCTCGTAAGGGTAGGGAAAGCTATGGAACGCCAATGGGGATGATGACAGGGTATGAAAATTAAAAATATAATTAGTCCGTAAGTTAGGTAATGAAAAAATATTAGACACGTATTTTTTTATTTTGTCGTATAATAAAACAATACTTAGATAAAACGAATCAAAGTTTAGGAGTGGGGGTTAAAACGTCATTTCTTAGTATAAAATGTACTGAGAAGTGACGTCACGCGACATTTCAAATCAATATATCTTCGAAACTATTCGTTTCTGTGAGAAAATAAAAAATACGTGTCTAATGTTTTTAAATAATCTATCAGACGGACATTAAAATAAAAATTAGTCGTCTACCCTTTCTACATCTCTTTCCAGGTTAATAGACCTCGGCAATGAAGTTCAACCTAAAAGCCTATTACGAATGAAGAAACAGACATCGTCCTCTCCAGGCGGTGGACCGTATCTACCGTATACCAATGGACTGGAGGCTGCCCTCGAACTCGCTAAGAGCTCCAAGGATCTAGTCATCAGTTTAAACGAGTAAGTTTTAATGTACCTTAAGGCTATGGAAATAAGGTTCAATTTTATCTAAAGATTCATGTCAGAGTAAGCTACGAAAATGGATGGAAGCGGTGCGTTATCGTTTGGCATGAAAGACTAAGGGGAAGGCCTTTGTGCAACAGAGGACGTCTTCTGGTTTATGATGAAGATGAAAAATGAATTAAGTACATTTTCATTAATAAAAAAGGTCCCTTAAAACTTTTTTTTTTGTTGATACCTTCCAAAGGCGCCTAGCTTTTTGGGGAAAAAGAGTGTGGGATTTTTACCTCACTAAAACCTCCCCGGTGGCCACCATCCGCACTTGAAGGAAGCACCGGGTCCTCTTAATAGACCAACTCCAGAGCCAATTTAAGGGACCTAGCTCAAAGTGTATTCTTTGGTTACAAAACGTTTAAAGCTAGCAACTTGTTTCCTAATTTATTACCTGACGACTAAAAATATCAAAAAATCTGAAATAATCCTTACTATCCTTACTAATAATATTATAAATCGGAAAGTGAGTTTGTTTGTTTGTTTGTTTGTTCCGCTTTCACGCCGTAACTACTTAACTGATTGCTTAGAAATTTTGCAGACGTAAAGTTAGAACTCCGGATTAAATAATAGGGTACTTTTTATCCCGGAAAAAATTGATATTCCCAAAGGAAATCAAAAGAATTGATATAGATGGCGCTGTGTGTATTGGTATGTGTCACATAGGCTGCTTTTTATCCTTTTGTGACGCGAGCGACGCTGCGGGTATAAGCTAGTCTTATATATTTTATTTAAATCTTTCAATTCACAGTGCGACATTAAAAGAAGAAGACGAACAAACAGAAAAAGAAAACAACAACGAAGTTAAACCTGAACCTAGTACAACAGAGAATCCAGATAACTTGCCAGTCTTGGAGCCAGGAGACCAGCTCCTCATCAGGAGTGCCAACGCTCAAATAGACCCGAACAAACGAGAAAGCGCACTCGATACTCCAGAAGTACAAAGAAGAAATGTCTTAGACAAAATAACTGACAGAGGAAAAAACATTATTAGTATTCTTTACCCTCCGTACGAAGAAGAGAGAAATGAGCAGAAGTTCGATGATTCTGAAAGAAAGAAGGCAGAGAAGTATGCTTTGTCTACTGATCAGATTCTATTGACTGATGCGTTGGGGATCAAACCAGTGGAAGTTAACAGTAGACATGTTAGTCAGCCAACTCCGTTAGCGCAAGTGGTTGAAGGGAGAGTGATTACAGACCAGACGAAAGAAGAATTGGAACACAAAGAAGGAAACTCCAAGCTCTGGATAGGAAAGGATTATACTAACTTCATTGTTAAAGACTTTAATAATTTAGATCTGCCTTTTGTAGGTGAGTATTTGTTTATATAAGCTTAATATTTTAAAAAAACTGCCTGACTGTCTGAAGACAAAGTAATACTGGGTTTCAAAAAATTCTCAATTACTTTATATCTTTCGATCTCCATACAAAACGTCTGAATCAATATAGACTTTTGAAGTTCAGTGGAACTAGCGTCAAAAATGACATCAATCGAAATACTTGGGAATAAGACCGGTTATCAAATTCAATTCAAGGTAAATCGTATCTTGGTAGTTGTATCAAGGTATCTTGAAATCCCTAACACGATCCAATATTGTATTACAGACTTAGTAGACCGCAACACGACGCCTCGTATGCCGTGGCACGACGTCGGCGTCGTACTGCAGGGCGCCGCCGCCAGGGACGTCGCCAGGCACTTCATACAGCGGTGGAACGCTATCAAACTGGAGAAGGCTAGGTGAGAAAAAAATATTTAGTACATAACTGTTGATATAAGAAACAATAGGGATGATGACAGGATATGAAAATTAAAAATCCAATTAGTCCGTCAATTCGGTAATGAAAAAATATAAGACGTGTATTTTTTATTTTGTTGTATAATAAAATGATATTTAGATATAACGAATCAAAGTTTAGGAGTGGGGGCTAAAACGTCATTTCTACGTATAAAATGTGCATAGAAGTGACGTCACGCAACATATAGTCAAAAGAATTCGTTTCTGTAAAAAATAAAAAATACGTCTGTAATGTTTTAAAATAATCTACATTAAAATAAAAATTAGTCATCTACCCTATTATACGGGTTTACCACCCTACCAATCCCATAGGTGCTTTGAGCTTTTTATGAAATAAGCCGGTAAACGAGCAATTGGATCACCTGATGGTAAGCAAGCGATGTCCATGAACATTCGAAACACCAGAGGTGTTACACTATCACCGGCCTTTTGGGGATTAGGAATTTGAATATTGTTGGGAATTCGGGCATTCTGGACTTTGGGGAGAGGGTAATTGTCCCTCCGGTAACTTCACTCACGCGACGAAACACAACGCAAGCGTTGTTTCACGTCGGTTTTGTGTGAGGCCGTGGTATGACTCCGGTCGAGCCGGCCCATTCGTGCCGAAGCATGGCTCTCCCATACTTAAAATTTTATGCCCACACTTTCATGTCATTTTGCTAATAGTACAGACAGAGCCGACTAAGCGACTACATTTAACAGAGACCGGGCAGCCGTGCTCTCTCTGATAAATTAGAACCTTTTAAATTCCAATCTCTAACCCGGAAGCCAAGCGAAGAGATTAAGACAAATGACTTCTATGTGGAAGTGGCCAATAGTCCAGCAGTAACATGTCACGACTCGTACAATAATTTTGAAATAAAGAAAAGAAAGAAAAAGCATTTATTTGGCAAATGGCACACAAACAAAGATTATGAAAAATAAAGATACAGATACTTACATAAATACATAATAAAAAATCATCAAAATATAACAAAATAATGTACATACAATACGAAACAAATGCAATAAGTTTTTGATATAAAGAAAATTAAATATTTCATCATCATAACATCACGCCTTTTTATCCCCGAAGGGGTAGGCAGAGAGGTGCACATTATACCACTGTACAATGTAACACCCACTTTTCACTATTTATGTTATGAGTCCCAGGGTGAGCCTATTGCCATATACCGGGCACAATTCCAGACTTCGTGCTACTACTGAGAATATTTAAAAAACCCAGTAATACTTCGCCCGACCCGGGAATCGAACCCGAGACCCCTTGTCCGGCAGTCGCACTTACGACCACTCGGCCAACGAGGCAGTCGGCAGTAAATATTTCTCATAAATATATTATAATTCATTTTCAGACAAAACCCGAACTACCCGTACTTATTACCGAAGGCGTACTCCGACATCAAACCTCTACAAGATCTGGATAAAGTACTAGAAGTTGATATTAACACTGTCTCCTGTCAGGTAACCTTATATTTATAAATAAAAATGAATTTCCGTTCTTTTCTGGTCGTCGGTGGTTGGGCAACCGGCTGCCGCTCAACGTGTCACGGGTTCGATTCCCGCGCGAAGCAACTTTGTGTGATCCACACATTGTTGTTTCCTAGGTGTCAAATGTATGCCGCGGAAGGCCTAACGAGCTGCAGGGGCTCCGGCTCGAAGAGCAGGAGTAGGAACGAGGTGGTTTTTAGTCAGTAAAGAGTCTGACACTCCCTCTCGCCAACCCAAAGCGGGAGAAGTCATTAAATGATTTTCCGCCCTCAAAAAAAAGGTGTCATATATATGTAAACTGGTATGTTTGTAAACGGACCCACGACACCGAAGAAAACCCTAGTGTGGGGCAAAGTTCTTAAAAAAAAACATTAAGCATTAAACATTAAATTAAATTTGAGTAAATTTAAATTGCTTACTTTAATGCATCACTTTACAGGTACTCCGCAGCCTATCAAGTTGGTCAGGTGGCTTCTTGGACCCCGACACAGTGGAACAGAGCATACACGAAGCCTACGCCGACACTATAACCAGGGCACAGCATTACGTATACATTGAGAACCAGTTCTTCATCACACAATCACGCTCTAGCCAGGCTGTGAGGAATCAGGTGAGTTTGTGAAAAATACGTTCATTTTTTGTATAATATATGCTCAGCAATGTGATAGGAAGCAATCGGCGTCGTCCATGAATACCGGCAACACCAAAGGAGTTACGAGTGCGTTGCCGGCGTTTTAGAGATTTGGATTAGAGTTTGGGCAAATTATGAATGGGGATTGGAGATTTTAAAAAGGGGGGATCAATTTTTTATTTAAAATTTGGAGTTACTCTCTGTCGTGGGTATGTTTACAAATAGACAATTATACAAAGCGTGCTTGTCATATTAAGATATTGTTCCGTGCGGAAATGGAACTCGTAACAAGCTGCGCAACTGCGCAGCTGGAGCAGTCAGAAGGTAATTTTCTCGTCAAATAGCACACTTATATCTAAAAAAATGCAATAATAAATCGAAAATTAATTATATCGGCAAATCAATGAATGAAAGTGTGACTATTTTTCAATATTAAAGTGGACTGAAAAATCAAAATAATTTATTTTTGATCCAGGAAACTACCCAATTGATTTTGTGTTATCATTGTGTTATTTGCTCACAGATAGGCGAGGCGCTATACAACCGAATAATGCGTGCGTTCCGCGCGAAGGAAACGTTCCGAGTGTTCGTAGTGATGCCGCTACTGCCCGGCTTCGAGGGAGAGGTCGGCGCGCCCTCCGGGACCTCGCTGCACGCTGTCACTCATTGGAACTACCAGAGCATATGCAGGTAACTTTAAAACATGCTTATTATAGAATCGCGCAGCTCACTGAGCTGCGCGACGTCGCCGCGACCGCGACCGCTGCTCATGAGGAAGAACCCCTTTGTGGTTCGAAACTAGTAGAGCTTTTCTCAGTATATTCACGTGAGTAACCCGCGTTTTTACTTAATTTAGTATGTCTCACGATAATTATTATAAAAACAAGTCCTATGATATTTTAAAATATTTATTTGCTACACTACATATTATAAAACAAAGTCGCTATCCGCCGTCTGTCTGTCCCTATGTATGCTTAGATCTTTAAAACTACGCAATGGATTTTGATGCGGTTTTCTTTAGATAGAGTGATTCTTAAGGAAGATTTATATGTATATTGCACCCGTGCGAAGCCGGGGCGGGTTATATATAAAACCAATCTTAATTACTGACTGCCTCGTTGTCCGAGTGGGCGCAAGTGCGACTGCTGGTCAAGAGGTCTCGGGTTCGATTCCCGGGTCGGGCAAAGTATTACAGGGTTTTTAAAAATCTCAGTAGTAGCACGGAGTCTGGAAATGTGCCCGGTATATGGCAATAGGCTCACCCCTTATTGCATGGGACTCATAACATAACATAGTTATTAGTGGGTGTTACATTGTACAGTGGCATAATGTGTACCTCTGCCTAACACCTTCGGGGATAAAAGGCGTGATGTTATGTACAATCTTAATTAACTAATTTTGGAATACCTATTATATGAAGAGCACAAATGGTATATCATTTTCGAAACAAACCTAACTTTTGGTATATTTCACAGGAGCCGCGAAGCAATAATAACTCGTCTATACGAGTCTGGCGTACCAGATCCCTTCGAATACATTACGTTCCATGGCTTACGAACTCACTCAGTACTGGGAGGGGAGCCGGTCACTGAGTTGGTGTACGTGCACTCGAAGTTACTCATAGCTGATGACAAAACGATAATTTGTGGCAGCGCCAATATTAATGATAGGTCTATGATTGGCAAGAGGGACTCGGAAATCGCTGTGTTGTTGCAGGTTTGTAGTTTTTTTTATACAATCTTTTATTAGACTTTGAACTTTATTGCTTTGGTGAAAGGTCGAAAATGAAAATAAATAACTGTCAGCAGTTTTTCATCATCCTTTAGATACGAAAGTATTGGTTTGATATCAATATATCAAACTCGTCAATACGAGTTTTATGACGTCATTGAATTCACATTTTTAGAGTAAGAACTGTAACTGTCATAATCGTTTTATAATCGTTATATTCATAATCGTTTAATTTTAACCTTTTGACAGTCGGGGTCAGCCTTTTGATAGCCGACAAACTAAATGTACTTTAAAATCATGTTTTGTTTGTCGGCTATTGCCAGCCGAACGTGGCATTCAACAGGTTAAAAGTCTCTTTTTTTTAAAAGCATATTTGTCTGTTTTTTAATATTTGACGGGCCGACGTTTGACCACTATCTCGCCTGGTGGTAAGCGACGATGCGATCTACGATGGAGCACGTCGTCACATACGCAACCTAATCACTCGGGCCTTGAAGACACCCAGGTTATACAGGGTGTAATGTAGCAAAAACAAATAGATAATAACATTTTCTTTTCATAGGACGAGCAGTTCATAGACGGTACAATGAACGGTGAAGCCTACCCATGCGGTAAAGTAGCTGGTGCACTACGTAAGCGACTGTTCAGGGAACATCTAGGTCTTATGGGGGAAGACCTAGACAAGTTAGGCATATCACTTGACGATCCCAGCTGCCACGAGTTCTATAGAAACTACTGGAAGGCTATATCTAAGAGGAACACTGATATCTATGAAGATGTGAGTATCTTGATGTGGAAATTTATTAGTTTTAAGAACAACAGACTGTACATTACTTTACTGACTTTTTCCGAGTTATATTATGTACTTTCAAAGATTATTTTAGACGCCACTGACAAACGGTGAAAGAAAACATCGTGAGGAAACCTGGGCTTTTAATTTCTAATTATAAGTTTGTAATCGCCAACCCGCATTGAGCAAGCGTGGTGGTTAATGATCAAACCTTTGTCGTGTGAAAAGAGGCCTTTGATCAGCAGTGGGCATTTATAGGCTGTTGATGTGAGGAACAACAGATGTGATAGTTAAGAAAAAAAAATAAAAGATTTAAATCATACTTGTATTCTTTAAAACTGTACTTGTACTAAATGTGACTTTGAAATCAGAATTATAGTGAAATAAGGGGTATTTCACTATTACATAACATCACGCCTTTTATCCTCGAAGGGGTAGGCAGAGGTGCACATTATACCACTGTACAATGTAACACCCACTTTTCACTATTTATGTTATGAGTCCCATGTAATAGGGGGTGAGCCTATTGCCATATACCGGGCACAGTTCCAGACTCCGTGCTACTACTGAGAATTTTTAAAAAACCTAGTAATACTTTGTTTTTCACTATTATTCGGAAAATATCTCGCCTGATCAAAGAAACCTCCATCTGACAAGAAACTTAATATCGTTGTACGCTAAAAAGTATTTAAATTTTTGGAGTATATTATAGACCTTATTAACCATCAAATAAAGAATATAATCCAATAACAACTCCTTTGCAGGTATTCCACACAATACCAACAGACGCAGTACACACCTTCGCTGAACTAAAGAAATACCAAGAAGAGAACGAATGTCTTTGGAACAAGGACCCAGCTCTAGCTAACCGGAAAATAGACCTTATACAAGGATATTTAGTAGACATGCCGTTGGAATTCCTTTGCAACGAAACACTAACACCTAGGAACACTTCTATGGAAGGTATGTTGCCGACTGCACTTTGGACTTAAAGCCGTTGAAGAGGACACTGCCATAAGAACTGTAATAGTTAATTTTAATAGTTAGCTGATTTCCTTAGTTTCTGATAAACAGAAGGCTTAGTACAAGTTGGTTTTATGTGTAACTAGATCGAAACGAGACGACCAGGCCCTCTGATTGGCCGGCTCCAACTACGAGTGCCGAACGTGATCTCGATTCAATATCGGTAAACACAACATACTAAGCTCTCAGTTCTAAGTCAATATAAATGTGTAAGCAGTTATGTCTCAATTTAAGCGATGGTATATTGTGTGCCCTAAAAAGTGGGGCTATCAATTAATCAGTTACAAGCTGAGAATGTTCTATAGCTATTTGTACTGTAAACTCATAAAAGATATCCCTATAATTGTAGAACTTGGGCACAAATTAGACATTCAGAATTTTAACAGCGCGAATTTTATAAAACTTTTGCGCTTTACGAAATATATTGCGCATGTTCTCACAAAATGTTTATTATCGTTTTAAAATCGGCCTGGATGCTACGACGAAGTGTGTTTAAATACGATGAAATCAATAAATTTAGTAGTGGAATTATTTAGGTTACAATTTGTTGGTGCGGGTCTAACTGGTTTTTCTTTGTCGCCGTTTGTTAGGTATAAAGCGATTCGTATCTAATGTCGAAATACCCAAACGTTACTCAATTTTAGGTTGCGCTTCCTAAAAGACACGTGTTTATGTACGTTGACCATATCCTTTTTGGAGAACCTCCTTCTTAGGAAGTCAATTATTAAAATGGTTATTTGTTGTGGTCGCAAACAAGACTCCGGTTTGACTTCCTTGAAAAATATCATAGTATAGTTCTGAGGGCCAAGCACGAATAACTATCACATTCGTATCGTAGCAGTATCGAGCGAGTTAAGCGTTCTGATTGGTTGGTTTTCTTGAGCCGGCCAATCAGAGCGCCGAACGCGCTCGATACTATTACGTTACGAATGCGATAGTTATTCGTGCTTTTTTTTTTAAGGGGGGAAAATCATCGAATGACTGCTCCCGCCTGGGTGAGGCGGAAGGGAGTGTCAGACTCTTACTGACTAAAAACCACCCCGTTCCTTCTCCTGCACGTCGAGCCGGAGCCCCGGTTACCCGTTAGGTTCTCCGCGACAGTTATTCGTGCTTGGCACTCTGTTGTTCTACAAATTATTGGTAATATGACAGAGATGGCATCATATTAAATGTACAACTTAAAATTGAGTAGTATTTCTGTATTCGACCGTAAGGACTATAACTTAATTGTTTAAAGAGCTATTTCCAATTTAAAAGCTTATGACAATTGGGTACTTGCCTTCATTAAAAATAAATTATTTCGACTGTTCATTACAATAAAATATTCAAAAATAATCACACTTTCATTAGTTGATTTCATGACCAACCTAATTTTAGAATTTTGCCAGCAAATTTGTAAAAAATAAGTGTATGCTGTTTGACGCTAATAAAACGTGACGTCACGATACACAATCTCGTACAAAATTCATAGAATACTGTCGTTTTTGACAGTTCGAAAAAAGTATTTCATTTTGACTAGTTGGCAAGTACCCAATTACTGTGATTGGACTAACATTGCCTTATGCGTAACGAACGGCCATCTGGTAAGCCAACAATATAAATGAAAGAATAAAGTATCTTGTGAATGGTATGAAATTGTCGTCTCGTTTCAATAATTAGGAAATGAGAGAGACAAAACATCTACCCGTGTTTATTGTATTTTGAAAATGTGGCAGTTATAAAATTGAATACAGCGGTGAAAAAGTTATTTATCAAAAAAGAATCGAAGACCTTTTTCGGTGTTGCTTTTTAATTAACTTAAGACTAAGTGTAAAATGTTTATAAATAATGGATTGCATAATAAATGGAATGCTAAGTACGTACCTCATAAGTTTGAATGACAATGTGAGTGCAATTTTATTTTTTCTAGTTATTTTACGTAATAATCTTGTGAAATGAGTAATTGTTGATCTGAAGTAGTTTTCTACAGAGATTCCGTTATTTTTATTATTTAATTAATTATTTTTTTATTTTAAAGTCTGTCCATATTGTAGTTTTTGTTGTTACTTGTCCATGTTACAGCTGAAATATGAGCGCTTTAAAGGTTGAAGGTTTTTTAAACTTATTTATATTGTGTACTATAAGCAAATTGATTTCAGTCCTTTATTAGTCGTTTGTAATATATTCATGTAGTTACCACGACGCAAAACTTAATTTATGGATATTTATTTTGTTATTGTTTTTATCTAATTTATTTTTGTCATTTAACAACGAATTTTATTATTTAATATTCAATGAATAGCAATAATATATTATTTATTTATTTAATCAATAAAACAGATAACATTCGATACATTTATTAGAAATAGGCACATATTATTAAAACAATAGTTTCTAAAGGTGCATTTATCATTCCAAGTGTTGCTATCAATAAAAATAAAAATGTAGTATTGCCACACAGAGACTAATTTTAGCTAGTTTTGGGGCAAAATAATTAGTTTACAGTGTACTCGAAAACATTATCCTTCCTCTAAAATTAAGTTTTAATTACTTAATAGTTTTACTTTAATTTAAGACTTTATTCAATATTTTTCTAATCTCCTTTCTTAAGTGTCATCATATCACAAACTCCTTTCTCGTACACTATATTTTTCACACAAAATTGTATCTATCCATCTTTTCTTTGGTTACTTTAAAAACGAATTACTCCATTTATCCGCATTTCCGTGGTATTATTAAAATTTAATGGTTGTTAGTAATGATCATTATCCTATCTACTCCATCCTAACCTATGCAGTATTATAAAATATTCCATAGGAAAAATGACTATGGATACCTGAACTTCCATTCCGCAAATGTATCATTCCAATATAACCACCGTCTTCTTTACCATGATTATTGAGAAATAGTTGTACAATCGGTTATTTAGTGTACAGGTAGAAAATAACTACTTAAGGATCAGAGCATTAGTGCTTACTGAACCGACCAATGGTTACAAAAGATGTAAATGTAGGTATACTTATAATATAATGACAATAGCTACAGTCTCTGTCTGCATGGGCGCAGCCAGCCATAGGCTTAGGGTGGGGCAATAGGTTAAAATAAATTATGTAACTAGCAAACTATACCTGTAGTCTTACCCTAGTGGATCTTTTCATACAAAAATTAATACAAATACTAAGTACCTACTGTCACAGTACCTCAATAAATGATTTTGATTTTTGAAGTTTGGTTAGGTAGATAAATTACAGGTCAGGGTGGGACGAGTGCCCCACTCTGCCCCACCGTGGATATGCCCATGTCTGGCTGGTTGTATCTTTTTAGCACATTGAAAAAGTCTTTTCCTTGTCAAAATTTTGTCTATTACTTGGCTATCAAAATTTGTTCCTATACCTTACTATTGTATATTATTATTTATAGCTTTTAAAGGCAACAATTTCCTAACATTGAAGTATTAAGTTTTTGGCTACTAAATTAAGAAATACCTATTTTTATACTAAAATTATTGTCCTACTAATGAATAATATTCTGAAAAACGTATTTTACTACGAGGCTTCGCTTACTTTTGACTTGCAATGGCTGTTTATTTTGTTTTTTATTTATCTATAGTAATAAATACATGACTATCCACTTAAAAAACTTTTTGAGATTGTAAATGATTTGTGCTGTGCGGTGCATAATAACTTATTATTTATTTCAATTGTACTCTAGACTTATGTATGGTGTATTTATAAATTATTTTATTGTAATTGTCTAATCTTATGAATAATAGTTTTATCAATGTTTGTGATGAATCTGTGTTATCCTGGTAAATGTGTTGTATTGTAATTAAAAATATTTTTATGAGAAACCTGTTTTATTTTTCTAATCAAATTAAAATCTAATGTAGAGGTGTTACGTTCTTATTCCCATTTTAAGTTACTTGATAATAACAACAAATTTTACAACTTTTATATAAAGAAAATTATAGATGACCTACTTATAGAATCTTGGTAAACATGACATCTTTGCCCACCTCACACAAAACTGCATGACTGCTTATGATCCCGTTCACTTTACATAGTGCTGCCATCTCTTATCTCTCAACAGAAATACAAGTCGTATTGAAACTCCCAGAAATAAAGGCGGGAAGATTAGGTTGTCATTAGTTTACTGTACTAGCTACTAGGTGGCGAGAGTGTATCAAAGGTTAGTGAACGGTGCACGTGTATGGAGGCATGCAACAAGTGGTTGGTCTCTGGTGTGAGGTAGGTAAGTAAATCGTTTGCTAATAATATGAATGTAGTAAGTATCAGACGAATTTTGTGATAGTAAACTTTATTACATTAGTCATAAATATCTAAATCGATCTTGTTATACAATATGAAGGTAGGCAGGTATATAAGTACCTGCCTTTCTTTTTTGGAAGGACTTAGATTTTTTATGAAAAGCATTCTTTTTCATTTCTGTTTCTTGGTTTAATATGTATGAGTAGATTTCTACCTACTCATTGTTAAAAGATTTGCTTAGGTGCCTTAACTTTAACTTGACTTATTGAAGTAAGTATTTTGTTAATGCTTGTATATGAGCATAATCAATTGGGCATTTACCACGACCTAAGTAATGAAATAGGTACTTACCTCAAACTGAATTGTCTATGATAAAAACTGAAATACCTAATAATTAATTAATACCGTGGCCTATGAACGCTTGCAACACTTGGGGCATTACATTTGCCTTGGGTACCATTGACCCTTACTTATGATGATACTTATTTAATAAATGTAGACAATTTAAGTAAATTTAATTAATAATTAATAGTTCTCGACTCAATGTATACTGTGATGTCCTTCAAATGTTGTGCATAGCAATAAGATTTTATTAAGACCTAATTTTAAGTTAATGTTAAATATGTAGCAACAACTGTATGTCCAAATAAATAGGTAAATTAGATTATTTACATAAATGTAAGCAGGTGTTTGGCTAATACTTATTTAATTATAATTTATTG